CGCTGGTGGTGCGCGCGTGCCTGTCCCCTCCGCGTCCCTCCCCCGCCCCGGTTCCCCGAGGGAGGCGACAGCATTATTGCCGCTCAGGGTTGCTTGGGGATTTGCGCCTCTCTCCCCGGGGGAAGAAAGGAGGCGAGGAAGAGGGGGGAAGGGGGAAGGGAAAGGGCGCCACAGTCCAGGCGTGGAGCTGGGCGTTGCGCGGCCGCCGCCCCCCTGCCTGGCGAAGCTCGTCGAGGGTAGCAGGTGGGACGGGAGGCTGCAGACTGGGGTGGGTGGGGACCCCCGAGAGAGAGGGGGGGTTGCAGAGAGTCGGTCATGGGGATGCCTTGCAGGTGGCCTGGGGAAGTTCCTGGCCAAGAGAACCGGACCCTTGGGCTGCGCCTCAAGAGCGGCGCGAGGAACGCGGGAAAAGTTGTCGGGGTGCCCAGCGGCTTCGCACGTTACGCCCTTGGTGCACAGCCGGAGACCCTGCAAGTGTCCAGTGACGTGCTAGAATAAAATTATGGGGCCTCCGGTGTTTTCTTCTGGTGGGGGAGAAGCAACTTAAGGTGAGCCAGTCTGCCTAGGGACAAGGCCCAGGAGGCGAGGGTTCAGCCCTCCTTCTCCCGACCCACTCACTCTACTGCCTCAGTGGCAGTTCCCAGCCCCCCCCCCGCCCCACACTTGGTTTTTTTTAAAATTTAAAAATCTTGCCTGTGGCCCTGACAGACAAGAGTGTTATTGGGAAGTCCATGTGTCACAGCAATACACTTATAAGGGAACCTAAATTGGATGTAGCTCTGAATACACACTAGAAGATATATTTGGAAGCTTGCTTCACCATAGTATGATGTATGAAAAAGACGTGCTGGCATTCCCTGTACTGTATCTCTTGCTAGATAGAGGGAAATTCAGCAGGCTTCAGTCTCTTCCTGTATCTTGATGGGAGAAGTGTCATTCAATAAGATTTGCCTGTCAGGCGGTTTTAAAAGGAACAGGAGACCTGCCACAAGACATTATGGGAAACTTAAATGATGGTAACTTGAAGACCAGAAAAGTTGGTCTGTGTTACAGGAATGTGTGTCATGGAAGCGATTAAAAAAAAAATCTGTAATATTGCATAGAAGAGTAAGTGTGCGTTTTGTGAAAATATGATTGTTTCTGACTGGCAGAACATTTTGGAGAAATGTTTGTGTATGGGTGGATGTAGGCTTTGAAAAACTGCCTTTGGACATTAACATGGGTTCTGAACAAGAATTGGGATCTGAACATCCATATTTTCCAGAGACTTGAAAGCTATCTCTCACAGAACATGTTTGTTTTAGTTCATTGTAATATCTAGTCAAAGCAGGCTTTGCACTACAAAATCATGCAGATGGAGACAATTGTGTACATCTTCACATTCCATTCCGTTTTCTTTCTTTAGAAGGATTTAAAAAAGCTCCATATCTGTTTGTAGACCCAGTCAAATTTGCTGTAGAATGGTATTCTGTTGTGTTTCATCTGTTATTAATAACTGTGGCCGCTAAAAACAAAAAAAGGTCAAGGCTTTTATGACCTTCATTTAAAAGCCACCTAGAGCAAGTCTCATTTAGAATTAAGTAAGGTTAAACATGAACAAAATATAATAAAACAATGTTAAAGCATTAAAGCAGCAGAATAAAAGGAATGCATATATTAAAGCTGGTATATGTGAAAGAGAAAATAAATAGGCCTGGAAGATAAATAAGATCTTCACCTGGCACTAAAATGACAGCAAGGTGGGTACCAAAAGGATCCTCCCAGAGTGTTACCACTGAACAGGCTTTTTCTCCATTACCCATTTACCTACCTGGCATGTGGTACCCAGAGAAGTGTGTCTAAAAGAGAATCTGGGTAGATGCATGGAGATGTTGGTGACCATCAAGGTACTGTACTAGGTTCTCAAGCCACAAAGGTAGAAAGCAACACATTGAACCAAGTTCAGGAACAAAATGAGAATTAATGAAGTTAGTGAATCTTATCATTCATGTGCTTATAATTAGTTATGTTCTGTCAAATTGGAACCAACTTACAACGATCCTAATAGGATGTTTGTTGTAGTATTTTTGGGCTATTTGGCCATGCTTTGGAGGTTTTTTCTTCCTAACGTTTTGCCAGTCTCTGTGGCCGGCATCTTCAGAGGACAGCACTCTGTACTCTGAAGATGCCGGCCAGAGAGACTGGCAAAATGTTAGGAAGAAAAACCTCCAGAGCATGGCCAAACAGCCCAAAAAACCCACAACAACCATTGAATCCTGGCCATGAAAGCCTTCAGTTCACACCTGAATATTTCAGAGTATTTGTGTGCATTTATATTTGTTTGGATAGGAGAAGACATGAACATGGGGAATATAAAGGGCTTTGAGCTGTGATGGTGGATGAATGGGATAAAACTCATTGCCATCAAGTACAGTGGTGCCCCGCAAGACGATGTTAATTTGTTCCATGTAAATTGCTGTTTTGCAAAAACATCGCCTTGCGAAATGCAGTTCCCCATTGGAATGCATTGAAATCCGTTTAATGCGTTCCAATGGGGACAAATTGTCGTTTTGCGAAAATCGCCCATAGAGAAACCGTTTTGCAAAGCGCCAATCAGCTGTTAAAATTGCTTTCTTGCGAAAAATGGTCCCCAAAACACTCGTTTTGTGAAGTGCAGATTCATGTGTCAAAATCGTCTTGCAAAAAACGGTCCCCCCCAAAAAAAGTCTTGCGAAGCACGGTCCAAAACATTGTATAGCAAAAATCGCCTATAGGAAACACTGTTTTGCGAAGCGCTATAGTGATCGCAAAAACTCATTGTCATGCGGATTCGTCGTTTTGTGAGGTAATCGTCTAGTGGGGCACCATTGTACTGCTAACCTCCAGTGCACAGGTAAATCTTCCACAAGCATCTTTCCTTCCCTCCCTCCCTATGAAGAGCTGTGTAATTTACTGAAATTTACACAGTGTTTGTTGAAAGAGGAAGGACTATTCCCAGGTAACATTTTTGCTTCCCATGAGGGTAGACCTGATCCTTGCTCTCTGTGTCATGTTTCATCACTCACCCCCTCTGGAACACCCCGTCTGTGAAAAGGGAGAAAGATAAAGTGCCACAAAAATAAAAGCCAGTGGCAAGAGTTAAAAATTAGGTACAAAGCAGGTGAGGAGGAGAGATACTTAGCTCCTTTTCATAATGCTGCTATGACTACTCAAATCTTGCATGAGACTCAATACATCCATGGTGCATTCACACACAGAGGCAATCAAGGGATTGGATTCTAAACAGTAATGAAAAATGAGCTTTGCAGCTGTCTAAAAGAAAAGAAGAAAAATCTTTAGTGGACACTCACACCATTGAACATGAAAATGACACAGATAACAATCTCTAACAGATTGATACCCTTCCCTTGCCCCACCAAGATGCAAAATGGATGCCAGTTAAAGGGAAAGGGACATTTATCTCATCTATTGAACCCCTCCGAGGGCTTCCATGATAGGTTTTTCTGAAAGAGCTTGAGATTTCCATTAGTGCTTGAGTGGTCAATCTTCTTCTGCTTTGAAATTATTGTTTCTGTTAAAATACACTATTAACTTTGTCTTCTGAGTGTGACATCCTGGTGCCAAGTGTTTGATTTTTAATTTTTCAATTTTTAAAACTGGCATAATATTTGGCACTTTGGAGAACCCTGATTTGAGTCCATTGGAGGCTTACTCAATTCTTTTTGTATTGGCTCAGAACCTGACGAAAGTTAACCACTTCACTTTATTTTCTGAATAAATTCTGAATGCAAAGTACATTTCTACTTTAAAGGCACCTCAGGTTGCTGTCCTCTGAAGATGCCGGCCACAGAGACCAGTGAAATGTCAGGAAGAACAACCTTCAGAACACAGCCAAAGAGCCCGAAAAACCAACAACAACCTCTATAGTCAAAGCTACCCATATAAATAACCATCCAACCATT